TAAAACGAAGACTTCTCACATTAATTCTATCAATTATAGCTGGACTTGGTAATAAATAAATAAAAATGTTAATGGATGAAGAGAGTAGTGGTAGGGGGAGGTGGGTTAAGTAGTTTTAGCGTTAGGAGGAAGGTTTCATGATCGTATAGAAACGGGTTAAAAGTTGATAGTGAATAATATTATTGGTGAGGTTGAGCATGTTTCAACATGTTATCCGGGATAATAGAAATAAATATAAACAACCTGCTGTTGGATTAGATCGTGTTTCAACATGTTATCCGGGATAATAGAAATAAATATAAACAACCTGCTGTTGGATTAGATCGTGTTTCAACAAGCTAAATAAGTTCAGTATCTCGCTGGCCATCTAATGCCACACTCAGTTTATATCCAGCATTCGAACGCTACTGCGCTTGTATTTTTATTTCTGGAATATGGCTCGCAGAGGTTGTGTAATTTCTCCCGACAGCTTCTCTTATGTCTGTGGTGAATACACAGTGAAAAGTCAACAAAGAAACATAAGTGAGTTAGTGAAGAAAGTTTAATTTGAATATTTCAAATTGAAACTTGGAGATGGAGACAAAGCAGATTTCTGGAAACAATGGGAGAAAAGGAAAAAGAAGCATGGGACTCTTTCAAGAATGTAGTGCATAAGTTTTTGGGGAATACTAAGGACCCTGACTACAAAATCATTGTAAAACGCATGCTGGCAGCAGCATATGAAGCTCGAGGATGCGAGATGAGCTTAAAAGTTTATTTTTTACACTCCCATATTGACTATTTTCCCGAAAACTTGGGAGCCTACAATGAAGAACAGGGTGAAAGATTTCATCAGGATGTCCGTGATATCGAGAGACATGAAAAGGAAAATGGGATGTCAATATGTTAGCTGACTACTGTTGGATGCTCAATCGAGAAACCAGAGAAGGAAATTGGAAACGAGTTTGGAGAAGCATCAAAAAGAAGAAGAAAATGTTTCATAAGAAAAAAGAGTAGATCTAAAATTGTGTATAAATATCAGGAACAATTAGTTGATTAGTTGTAAGAATATATTTATTACAATAAACTAAATATATTATAAGAGTTTTTATGAAAAATTTCTTTTTATTTTGCAAAAAATCTTTACGTGATGGGATGTAACAAAAGTTATTTTTAGAATCTGTGATCTGTAAAACATATAATTCAGCAAAAATATTCCATGCAGCTGGAAATTTTTTTTTGCAGACTTGTGTTATTATTTTTTTTTTATTGCTTCATCTCATGCATTTAAATTTTAAATCGACCGATTTTAGATTGTCGCGCGTACCCCTTCACGCAGTGGTTCGCAATTAGTGGTACGCGTACCCCCAGGGGTACGCGTACCACTAATTGGGAACCACTGATCTAGGAGATAATCTCTTTTTCTTTAAATCTATTTTAAAATTATGAATTACTGTACTCATAAAATAAACAAAGAAAGATTTTGATAAACGTTTGTGTGCTTTTTAATTTAATAATTTATTAAGTTCAATGCTGATGCTTGATATTACATTTTTGTAACTTAATTTCAATAATAAATACGCATATTAGGTGTTTGTAAGTGACGAGCAGCTAAGTAAGCAAACGAATGGCATAATTCGTTTCATACAAACAACACAGGTGTGTGTAAAACGAACTATTCCATTGGTTTACTTACAAGCATTGTTGAATTATTGAAAACAATTACATTTCATCTAATCATAAATTTAATATATAATTTTAATAATATGCAGAATTTTTAATTACTTATGGAAAGAAGTTTTGAATTAGGTCTATATCATAATAATATGGTATTTATAGGGCTTTTCTGTAGACGAGACTCGTACAAAATTGCCTGCGGTCCCCTCTAAATGACCTGTTTAAGTCTTCAGATTTCAAAAATAGCTATAATTCTCAAATCTAATAAATTCGTATAATGGATATTTTAAATTTCCATTTCCAATTCTTAAAATATTACTATTTTATATTTTAATTTATTCGTTTATAATTTTATAAACATATCAGGAATTTTTTAAAAATATTGCTTAAAATAAAATGAACTACTTACGAAATTTAAATACTGCATATTAAAAAAGAATTTTCTCAGAATAGAAGATCGCTAAAGATTAGAATACTGGTATAGGCCTTTTTTTCTGAGAGATCAAACCATGACAATTTTAACATTTTGTTTTCTTATCAACAATCTTATTTTAGAAACAATAGTCCCATTTAAAACAGGAAATAGTATGATATATTACAAAAGCTTAAATAACTTTAAAAGCATATAAATACAGGGTCTTCCAAAAATAATTATATCACTTTAAAGTATTGTAATTATGTTAATTATTATTTATGAACGTTGTAATGTACATTAAAACGTTGGAAAACTGCCCAAGTTTTACATTTGACCATTAAAATTTCTTAATGTGTGCACCTCATGTCATATGGCACATATCCAACCGATATTCAAATTTTTCCTATACTCGCTACAGCAGTAGCTCACCCAGAGAGAGAGAGCCAAGGGACTATGCCCCCCCCCAAAATGGGTAAAAAGCACTAGAAAATTTTCCAAAAATCTTTTCCTAATTAAAATTCATATTGTTATTTGTATTGTGTCGTCTTTTCTATTTCTAAACTGCTTGTGAATTAGCGGTCACAAAAGGAAAGAATTTTATTGAATTTACATTAAAAATGTTTCTGTTCAACTCGGCTGTTCCGAGATTTATTCCTGAGTGCGCCACTGCGCTACAGCATATCCTTTGTCACCTTTGTCATGGCAGCCATATTTCTGAAGCTTCTGCAGATTACTCACGTTGAGCAATGACGAGTGATTCCGACTTTACGAACTGTGGAACACAAAACGCTTTCTCTATTGCGAAGTCGCCATTTTTATTTACGGCGCTTCGTAGAGGTAGTAGACAATAAGATGTTTGAATGCAAATGGGAAATGAAACTCGGGCAATTACTCTATTGATTGGTGTACATATCACATTTCTCAGATAATAATTAGCATAATTACAGTAATTTAAAATGATATAATTAATTTTGGAAGATACTGTATATTACCCTCAAAGGTTTAATAATTAAAAATAATTTTAACAATTAAGCATATAGTAAAGTAGATTTTAAATGCGGGAAAAGAACAAAATATTTCCTTTTTCTTACAATATCTTTTTTCTGCCTTTCGATTATTCATATATTCATATGCAGATTATGCAAAATATAGAAATAAGAATGTTATCTACGTTACTATTATCTCATATCGAGCAACATCAATAAGCAGAAACCTGGGTAGCTCTGTCGGCAGAACTTTTAACCTAACGGTCTGGGATTTGAGTCCCTGCTCAGGCGACTCACTTTTCTTTTTCTCGTTCTCTCCGATTACAGTTTGAACTTAAAATTCGTTTTAAAAAAGTCCAGATTTCAAACCGTGATAAGAAAAACGAGAACGAGAAGGAAAAACTAAAATTAATCGCCTGAAAAGGGAACTCGAACCCTGGATCATTCAGGTTAAAAGACTAACGCTCTACGGACTGAACTACCCAAGATTTTGTTAGCACCGCTCGGTATAAGATAACAGTAACCTGTATTATTAAAATATAAATTGTTTCTGCCGTTCGTTAGTGCTCAATTTCTCAAGATTTGGACGTTCTTGCGAATTTCGCCAATGCAAAAACATATTTCGACATCCGTAAATTTCGTGAAATAGTCAAAACGACTTTTCTTGTTGTAATGAAATTTTCCAGTGAACTGTAATGCAATATTGCCTGACTTGAATATTTAAGTAGTACACAGCACGGCTTTTGCGTTTGTCATCTCAATTTTAAAATCGCGGTATGCTGTTGTAATTTTGCAAATTGTCACGTTCTTTTCCCGAACACAATTATACACAACACAACAAACATTCGGATAGCAATCGTAAACCGATTAAATGTACGCGTTCATGTAGAACCCGATTGTATTTGTGATATAGAATACAATAATTAACTGTTGTCTTAACCACTCCGCCATGTCTGTATTTCTCCATTAAGGCAGAGTGGATGATGAAATCCCCTTCTATCATACATCGTATTCGCTGCATTGTCACCATCCAAATAGTATGCCCACGTGTTTTACCAATATGTTATCATATATCCCATTACAACTTTATTGATTTGAAACTGCAATGAAATATTTTCAAGTGACGAAGCGAATCACGTAATATGATGAAAACATGGATGCTTCTAAGTAAGCAAACCGTTTATATAAAACAGTATAAGTTTATGTATACGTCATTGATTTGCTTGCTTAGCTAAATGCCACTTAGAAGAATTCGATACTTTTAATAGCGTAAAACAGTTTGAATCTAAACTATAAACTANTGGCTAGACCAGTGGTTCGCAATTAGTGGTACGCGTACCCCCAGGGGTACGCGTACCACTAATTGGGAACCACTGATCTAGGAGATAATCTCTTTTTCTTTAAATCTATTTTAAAATTATGAATTACTGTACTCATAAAATAAACAAAGAAAGATTTTGATAAACGTTTGTGTGCTTTTTAATTTAATAATTTATTAAGTTCAATGCTGATGCTTGATATTACATTTTTGTAACTTAATTTCAATAATAAATACGCATATTAGGTGTTTGTAAGTGACGAGCAGCTAAGTAAGCAAACGAATGGCATAATTCGTTTCATACAAACAACACAGGTGTGTGTAAAACGAACTATTCCATTGGTTTACTTACAAGCATTGTTGAATTATTGAAAACAATTACATTTCATCTAATCATAAATTTAATATATAATTTTAATAATATGATTCCTAATAAATATTTTATTAAACTATTATTAATAAAATATATGAGAAAATCTAAAATATTTTCCTATGCTTCATTTATATAAAAATTATTATTTTTATTTTATAAACTTAAAATTTTATTATATTAAAAATTTCCAGTCAAATAATCATACTAAAACTTTATCTTGTTTTATATAAACATAGCAATGTGTATTCAGCTGTATCGCTGTAAAGCGTTTCTCGAGCGCTGCATAAAGAGACGCGGCCATAGCGAGCAAACATTGCGATAAAAGCGCCCTCTGAACTTTTAAGTAATTGATTGATTTATGGACTTCACGTGATATTTCGCGAGTTATCATTGAAAGGTGCCGGAGGTTTAGGAGTTGTATGCATTTAATCGGGAATATCCACTCGATAATAAACTGACGTGTAATAACAGAATTGGAGGAACTTGATATTCGATCGGGAAAGTAATATATTCTATGCAATTGTGAAGTGTTAATTGACAGGTAAGCAGATTTTTTAAATGTGTAATATTAAACAGGTAATTTTTCTTGTATTTAGTACACATTTTTTAAAATTTGACCGTCCTATTTACGATTTTTCAAAAGATAGATAATGAGAAAAACTATGTAAATTATCTAAATTAATTAACAACGCATTTCTTCGTTTATTTTGACTTATTCCCACTTTATTCAGACTTATAATTGATCAGTTTTTATTTTTATTGAATATAGATTAAACAGAAAAAGAGACTTATGTATTTTGTTTATAATAAAGTCTAACCCATGCTTTTTAATTGCAGATTGATTATACTTTATAGAGCATTTATTGATTATACTTTATTGATTATACTTTATATAGTTTAACACGACAAAAACATTTTTCCCTCCTGTTTTTTTCGTGTTGAACCATACTCAATAATAGGTTTACTATTTCGCACAGATAAGTGTTAAAATATGCCGGATATTGACATTTTTTAGTTATTTGAGTGTTGTAATTACGGTGAAATTAGAAACTTGTAATGGAAACTTTCTCAAGCAACTTGGAACAAATTGAATTTTAATGGAGAAATGTTGCAAAAGATTATACAGTAGAAAGTATATATTGTAGCGCCTGAATTATGTGCAAATTTCGCAATTATTTAGAGATTTTAGAAGTGAAAAATACTATGTTTGGATATTTAATACAGGATGGAAAAAGTTTTGCTACAAATTAATGGAAATATTAGGAAATAAGATAAAAGAGCATTTTATTTAATTATTTAGAAAATTTTATAATATTTTTTCTATTGTAAATTCCATTATAAATTAATGGAAATTGAAGCTATTAATTCTCTAAATACTTTGCTAGATTAGTCTATTTTAAATGTATAAAATTAGTAGGCCTATATCCAAATATGGATAATGTAAATTTGAAGGCATTTCTTTACATGTATTTGATTTTAATTGGAAAGAATAAAAAATAACCGTATAAACTCTTAAAATTCTTAATAAAAATATTAATTCTTAAATGCTTGCTGTTTAGACTGTTTAATAAGTGAATGTAAATTATTTTAGATTAGAGAATGTTAGAAAATGTGTTTTTAGACCTCACACCTTTTAATCATTAATAAAAATGATTTTTTAAATAAAAATTTCCTTATAATTGAATAATTCAAAGAATCAATTTTTTTTTATTCAAATTTTTTTGAATTATTCAGAAGATGATACATTATGTTAGTCTACACACCAACTAAATTTAGAATATGTAAATTAAATGAGATTTTATATTATTTATGGAACTGAGAGCAATATCATAAAAGCATTTACGAATAAAAATTAGTTTGCATTCTGATGATGGTTTTATATATGATTTATTATGTAATGTTAGTCTATTAAAAGACAATATTAATTCAAAACTTATCCTAACATGCTAAATGCTCTATCATTAAGTTCTGATTTGTGATCAAACATTTTTCTAAGTTTGGATATATTTTCATGACATATAATACAAACTGCATTCATGAGAACATTTTACTGTTAATTTTTAATATTTACACATGAAAAAATCTTTGAAGTGTAATTTTCAGTATTTTGAATTGATTTTTTTTCTTTCCTAGTTTATACTAAAATTTAGGATGAATTTCTTTTTATCAACAATAAACAAGAAAATTTTATATATATTTTTAATAATTGTTTATTGTGTATTCTTGTATTTCTATTTTTTCACTTTAATTCAGGTTATTATTTGTTCTGCCATGGTACATATGGGAGGCAATTTTCTGGCAGCTCATCTATAACAATTATTGAGATACAAAATAAACAAAATATTATATTGGAGAACATATCTTAAGCCATCAATATGCTTATTTGACTTTATATTGTATTTTGATTAAAATTTAATATTTAAATAATTCTTGATATAACATGCCACTAATTTTTTGTTTTTAAGTTAAAAATATTAAATTCACAGTATGAATTAATAGTATTAAAAATTCAACTATATCATGAAAAATAAATTTTTTGAAAATTTACAGGTGAAAAATTGTCAGTAATATTTTTTTTTTATAAAACCTAATAATGTGTAATGTTTTTTCCTCTAATAAGTAAATTACACAAATATATCAATAATTTGTGATCTCCTCATTATTTTTAATTTTTTGAACTGGTGTTTTTTTTTTTTTTTTTTTCNAAATTTCCTTATAATTGAATAATTCAAAGAATCAATTTTTTTTTATTCAAATTTTTTTGAATTATTCAGAAGATGATACATTATGTTAGTCTACACACCAACTAAATTTAGAATATGTAAATTAAATGAGATTTTATATTATTTATGGAACTGAGAGCAATATCATAAAAGCATTTACGAATAAAAATTAGTTTGCATTCTGATGATGGTTTTATATATGATTTATTATGTAATGTTAGTCTATTAAAAGACAATATTAATTCAAAACTTATCCTAACATGCTAAATGCTCTATCATTAAGTTCTGATTTGTGATCAAACATTTTTCTAAGTTTGGATATATTTTCATGACATATAATACAAACTGCATTCATGAGAACATTTTACTGTTAATTTTTAATATTTACACATGAAAAAATCTTTGAAGTGTAATTTTCAGTATTTTGAATTGATTTTTTTTCTTTCCTAGTTTATACTAAAATTTAGGATGAATTTCTTTTTATCAACAATAAACAAGAAAATTTTATATATATTTTTAATAATTGTTTATTGTGTATTCTTGTATTTCTATTTTTTCACTTTAATTCAGGTTATTATTTGTTCTGCCATGGTACATATGGGAGGCAATTTTCTGGCAGCTCATCTATAACAATTATTGAGATACAAAATAAACAAAATATTATATTGGAGAACATATCTTAAGCCATCAATATGCTTATTTGACTTTATATTGTATTTTGATTAAAATTTAATATTTAAATAATTCTTGATATAACATGCCACTAATTTTTTGTTTTTAAGTTAAAAATATTAAATTCACAGTATGAATTAATAGTATTAAAAATTCAACTATATCATGAAAAATAAATTTTTTGAAAATTTACAGGTGAAAAATTGTCAGTAATATTTTTTTTTTATAAAACCTAATAATGTGTAATGTTTTTTCCTCTAATAAGTAAATTACACAAATATATCAATAATTTGTGATCTCCTCATTATTTTTAATTTTTTGAACTGGTGTTTTTTTTTTTTTTTTTGTCATGATTAGTTTTAATTTTCAGGAACTGACAGAACTTGCAATATTTCCTTATTCTTTCACATCACCTACTGCCTTTGTCATTTTAGTCCACTTTCCTGCTTATTAACTTCTATCAGTCTCCATGCTAAGGATAGCACATTAACTGGATTTAAAATGTTAGCACTTGCTCCTAAAAATCCCACTTTTAAAGGTGTATTAAGTAATTCAGAACAGATTTTCTAATCCATCATCATAGAGTTTATTGCAAATTTTTTGTCAATAGAAAGTAGAAAGTACTGTACATATTGAACACAGTACTATTAACTTTTAACTTTTTCTTAATACAGTGGTGCCTCATATAACGTACTTAATCTGTTCCAGGTGCACGTCCATTAAGTGAAAAGTCTGTTATATGAAATGCATTTTCTCATAGAAATACATGTTAAACACATATAATTTGTTCCACAGTTAAAATAACCGTACTGTACTATTAAAAAAAATGAAAATGGAGCAGTCACCAATTATGCCGGGTAGTCAGATGTTGTGAGGAGGAGGTGGAGGAACACTTTCTTTACACATTCATACAGATACTTTTTACACATTTCAGCAGATCTCTTTTTATTGTTTTTTAATCGAAGTCAGATTCAGGAGAGGCTACCAGAGCTTGCAGGGTCATCTCCTCTTGTTCCATCCTTTGTTTTTTGGCAGCTTGCTTCTTGAAAAACATGTCCAAAGTGGTCAACTCCTCTTGTTCCATCCTTTGTTTTTTGGCAGCTTGCTTCTTGAAAAACATGTCCAAGGTGGTCTGTTTCTCTCTCTTCTTCAATACCTGTCAGAAATGACGGGCAAGGGTGTCATTGTAGACATTATTGATTCTGTTGGCCTCAGCTCTGTTTGGATAATGAGTGTTGGTAAACTCCTTAACCTCTCCCCATTTGACAAGGAAGTTTTTGTCAACTTTTACTCCTTCTGATGATGTCGTGCTTTGTTTCAATTGAAATCACCTTTCTGTTTTTTTAAAAGCCATGACTTGCACAACACTTGAATAAATGTAAATACTCTGCATGTACGTAATAAACAAGGGAGCAAGCCGAATCCCAACGGGAGCTCTGTACTTCAGATATAGGCTACTAATAATATATTCTAATAATACTAATATATTATAAAAATAACAGGATGTCATTTGCAATGGCAAAAGAGTGGAAACATCATTTGCATTTGTTCGCAGAAAGACTGTTATTCGCCTCATGTAACTGCCAAATGGAAAGTCCATTGTTTGCAGCGTCCGTTATTCGAGGCGTACGTTATACGAGGCACCACAGTATATGATTTATTTTCATTTAGGAATTTTCACATTGTATTTTTTAAAAATGTATAACTCGTCAGAGACTGCATTTCTTAATTAAATACACTCAGACAAACCTTTACATATGCAGCCGTAATTTAATAGATAAATTCAAACGTTTTCGACCATATTCAATGGTCTTTATCAAGAAAAAACTGAACAATCAAATTTCGAACTTAAAATTTGCGTTACCGATACAAGCATTATTTTTGGAACATTTTTAAAAAGATATTCTATCGTATAAGTGCCATCTCTACATATTGGCTGTAATTACAGTAGTTAAAATAATACCAGTAAAATACATTAAAATACAATAAAGTGCAGATAGAAACAAAAGTTAAATTACGGCTGCATATGTAAAGGTTTGTTTGAGTGTATTTAGTTAAAAATGTATAATTGATAAACATGAAATTTTGATTTTTCAGAATTGATTTTTAGAACTATTCTAAAAATATTTGTATATAAAAAAACTTTTAAACTCTTGCTTTAAAAAAAAATGTAATTTGTTAAATATTATAATCATGAGTTTGTATAACTTTTTCATGAATTTTATCTATTACAAGTATGAATAATTGAAATTTTGCATTGTCTACAAATGCAGAGGAGAAACTTTTTAATCAATTAATCATATAAAAGATTTTTCAAATTATAAAAACTTTTTTTAGAGACTATTTGAATAACATTTTAACTTGTTAATAGAATTTTGGTAGTCTTCATTATGAGACTACACTCCATATAGCCAAAACACATGGGAAAACCCCTTTTGATTTGAAAGAACGTGCTTGAAACAATGACAGTATGCAAATTAAGGCATGCTGATTAAGACATGGTTGCGTCATGTGCATATTTTCCTCCAACATGGTGCAAAGGAGTGAAATGGATGCATTCACAAGAGGAATGATTATAGAAACTCTGAAATTTGGACATTCTATAGCAAAGATTTTGCAGCAATTAGAAGGTCCACTGTTAGCAATGTGATAGTGAAATAGAAACAAAAGGGAATCACTTATCCTGATCCTCATTCTGGTAGACCCTGATTATTGTTTGAACAGAACTGCCAAAACATGTATTGTGCAAGCTAATCGCCAATCAGCCTTGACCAGAATTGCTGAGGACTTCTGGAACAGGTCAGGCACACAGGCCAGTAATAGGACTATTCACCAGGAAGTGATAAGACTCAGATTTCATGGAAGTGGTACAAGCAACACTGTAATTGGAATGTGAAGCAATGGAAACAAGTTCTGTGGAGTGATGAATCATGTTACATGATCTGGGACGGATGGATGCATGTGGACATTGTGGATTTACTAGAGTGTGTTATGCAAATTGTAAAATTTGGCAATGGTGGCATCATGGGTCTGGAGTTTTTTCCTGATATGGATGTGGGCCACTGATTTTGATCAAGGATGCAGTGAATGCCAATGTTTATCAAGACATTCTTGATAACAACATGCTTTCCATATTGTGGCAGCAGTTTGAAACTGGCCTTTTTCTGTTCCAGCACTAATGCTCCAGCCCATAAATCAAGATCTATAATGACATGGTTTGAAGAAAATCATGTAGCATGCTTGACTGGCTGCTCAAAGTCCCAATCTCAACCTCATTGAACATCTTTGGGATGAGCTAGAGCACCAGGCCCACCGTAAGCGGGCGTGCATCGCACACTGGCAGCACGTCCAGGGGGCGGCAAATCGAGCGATCGGTCACATAATATTGAAAGTCATTATCATAATACCAACCCCACTTAGCATAAGAAATGTCTTCGCTCTATGACAGAAGTTGACAAGACTGGCGAAATTAGGGAATCCCCACAGAGCTTCCTTCTCAATTTGTACTTGTACGCATTCGAACAGTTCTATCGCATATCAAATTGCAATTATTTTGTTAATAATTCTTCTCACATGGGTCTAAGTATAATTAATGATATTTTAACTTGGTTAGGATTTAAATCTGAAGCTTAAAGATGATTCAAGTAGTTAAAACAGACATTGAGGTATTGATTTTGTTTAATGAAATCAATGCTTTAAAGTTGCATTTTCCAGAAAACCAGTCTAATTATTCACAAACCCTATTACAATATCTTTTTACTAATGACTAAATTTCAACATTTCCGAACACAGCAATAGCACTAAGAATACTTACATTGCCGGTTTCAGTTGCATTTGGTGAAAGGTCCTTTTCAAAGTTAAAAATTATAAAAAAAAACTATTTAAGATCAACAATGCATCAGCAAAGACTAAGTAATTTAGCTATAGTTTCAATTGAACACGAAATCTTAGACAGCTTGGATACAAGAAAATTGATAGCAGATTTCGCAAATGTAAAGGAAAGAAGAGTTCATTTTTTGTAGATAAATATTTATATGGTTTTACACTTAAGGAAAAACAAAAATAACTTTACAAAGAAAAACTATTTATTATTACTAAGTATTTCTTTTCTTTTTTCACATCGTTATGAGACAACACTAAAGAGCCTTTCTGGCAAGCTCAGCGTAGGTAGTCATAGTTAAACAGGAGGCGGCATAAACGGTAGTGCACACGGGCGTTCAAACAGCTAGCGGCGCACCTGTAGAGCACTGATTGCATGCCAGACCAACTGATCCAAAAAACACCCTTGAACTTCTCATCATGTTATGAGACAAATGGAGGCAAATTCTACCAGCAGTGTATCAAAACTTTGTGGAAAGTCTACTCATAAGAGTAGTATTTGTTACAGCAGCAAAAGGATGTCCAACCTCCTATTAAGTACATGGTCTGTACTGTACCTTTCAAACCAAAAAAATTAGGTGTCCCATGACTTTTGGCTATATAGTGTATACTAATAATGAATAAATACACCTGAGAAATTGCAGTGTTAACTCCAGAGTCAGCATACAAGAACAATATTTTGTCTTGTATAATCCCAGTGAACAGATTAAAAATTAAATTTTGAGATTTTGAACAATAGTGCATTGTCTGCAAGTTAACTAAAAAAAGATAGATACATATTTTATTATAATAGATTTGATAATTACAGATGAAATTCATATTATAAATATTTTAATGCATGTTTTGTTAATCTGGCACCTGCAGAACTGAAGTTGTGTTGTATTATTGAAAATGTTAGATTACTTGATGTTTAGTAAAGAATTTTGTATGTGAAAAAACCTGATGATGGAGCATAACTTCCAAAAGTGCTTTTTTTTATCATCAATGTTTTGTATGAGTTTTATCGATAAAGCAACTTTTTGGTTTTGTATTTTTGCAAAATTCGATAAGTTGTATGCAATCTGTATATTGTAGACATTGCTGTACATTTTCTACCAACATACTGCAGTATATTCCCAATTTGTTATGCATGCTCTTTAATTAGTTTGAAGATAATACAGTGCATGACTAATAATATATTAAGATTGATCGAAAAACATACAGAAATGTCAATTAACATATTATTGAACAGAATCAACATTTACAATGACATGCATACAATTTTTCAAAAGCTATACCTGCTCAGCTATACTTTTTTCTATTAAATTTACTGTGACTACATGTCTGAAACAATTCTGATTCACAAAATAGTGCCATGCTCGACTATTATTGGACAATTCCTACCAATTTCACTACTTTTTAAAGGCAATGGATTAGCAAAATGAACTTCAAACTGTATATATATAGTAGAATTTAGAATGATGATATATTTAGAAGTTACATATATGATTCTATATAGATAGATTAGTAGGAATAAAATGTGATTTAATTGTTTAGATTAGTGTTGGTCAGATAGCAGCTTGGGAAACAATTTTCATGATTTCTTTTAATACTACTATTAACATTAATATTTATGGTTTAAAAAGCATATATTAAAATTGCTTAATAAAGTTTATTTTATCTGAAGTAAAAACAATTTTAAATCTTTTATTTGATTAATTTTAATTGTGTTTTTACTAAATGTTTGTTTTCAACTATGATTGTGTAATGCAACATCTATAGATTATTTTTCTTTTCTGGTCCTTCATGTCTTTACTAAAAACATTAGAGCTAAAAAATAGTATTTTTTTATTTCTTGAATTATCATTTATCTAAAATCAGTATAAAAATATATTTATTGTAATTAAGGATAGTTCAGCTATGACTTTCTAACAAGAAACTTGTATATTATATTAAGCTTTCATAATTTATTAAATTTAGTTATTAAGTACTTATGTAATGTTTATATAATTTTATGTTAATTAATTAGTTTTTAAAATTTCTAGTCATGGAAATACTAACTGGAACACTTGTAAAGAAAGATGGTTCTGAAGTATCTTGTAGTGAAGCATTGAAAGAAGCTGAGGTTATTGGCTTGTATTTTTCTGCTCACTGGTGTCCACCTTGCAGAAATTTTACTCCTATACTTGCTGATGCTTATGAAGAAATGAAAGATTTGAATTATAAATTTGAAGTTGTCTTTGTATCCTCTGACAGAGATGAGAAATCATTATTTGACTATATGAAAGAATGTCATGGTGACTGGTATGCTCTTCCATTTGGTTCAGAAAAAATTAAGTAAGTAATTAATTAAATTACTTATTTTATCTGTCTGATATATTAAATGATATATTATTTTTTTTTATAAAACAGAGAAATGAAATCAAAGTATAGCATCACTGGTATCCCAACATTGGTGGTTATTAGAAAAGATGGTAGATTAGTAACTGTGAATGGTCGTGCTGACATTCAGTCTAAAGGTGCTAAAGCCTATTCAGAGTGGACCAAATAAATAAAATTACAAACCAATTGTTAAGTTTGATTTAAAATATATGAAATGTTGAAATTCAACTTTATTTTTTGATTATTTAAAAAGTTGGTGTTGGCAAAATAAAATAATGTTTTGTTAATTGATATAGATTTCTTTAATTGGATAAGAGTGAAAAATAAAATTTAATGAATAACAAACAATTATTTATTGTGGCATTGTCACAATACTATGCTGCAATTTTTAATTAATTTAAAAAATTGATTTAATTTAAAATATATGCTCTCCACCTCAAATTAGTAGTGGCTTGCCCCTGTATATTATACTTTTTCATGTTAGCAATTGAGTCATGCTGATCATTTATCTAATTCCTCTCAAGGGAAAATTTTTGAATTGAAATAATGTGACTTCTAGTTTGCATCAGAAGTTTGTATATAAGTAATCAGGACCAATGTTTCCACTAATTTTTTTTGTCGATGAGTGGAACATATACTTCTCTGAGCAAAAATATTTTTGCTGAGCATATATATATATGAAATCTTTTCTATAAAAATTAAAATAAATTATAAAGTAGAGATTAAAATTCATTTTAAAATATACTTTTATACAAAATATTATCTCTTGTCAATGATTTAATGTATTTAATTGAAATATAAATAGCAATAATCATGTTGCAGACAGAGTGAAAAATAAGTAAACAATAATTCAAATCGGTGTGCATGCTCGTACATAAATTCTCGTGTGCGGCAACAATTTGAGCAGTGCGCAGCTGCGCAGCTTAAAGGGAACATTGATCAGGACCTCCTGCTCCTAAGCTTTCCATATCTGGTCTCTGCTTTCATCTAACCCTGTTTTTGAGATTAAGGAAGGACATACAGACAGATGACAGTGGGAAATTTTAGGTCTGTGATTTTTTTCAAATTTCAGTCCAACAAACTAAATAAATATTCAGCTCAAGTTTATAGTATTTGCATAATTATTTTATTTGGAAGTTCATTTCGTGAGATAAATATTAGTCACAGATAATGCTTATGCAGGGTCATATAAATTTACTATTGAGTTAAGATTTAAAAATTATGTTGATTAACATATTTTATGAAGTATATATTTAAGTATTGTTAAACAGCATGTTTTGCAATTTTTTTTCTGTTTATTTTCATATAAATAAAATTGGAATAATAGAACTGTTACTAAAGTCAGTAAAAACATTATTTGATATATAGTTAAAACATAGAGATGTCAGTTTCCTTGTACTAACAACCTTCAGCTTTTATTAGTCAGGTGTTCTAGGAAATCAGGTAATGTCTTTTGTTTACAAGAAAAGTGAATAATGTTCTAACTTTTTTGTTTGTAATAAATACATTAGAAAATTACATTTGAACTACATAAGAAACTAATGACAAAATATAAATTTTTATATTTGCCCTTCAGTGATATTTGAATGTGTTTTTTATAAATTATTACAAAGGTTTTTATTAAAATCTAATGAATTGTTTAATTTCTATACTTGGTTTTTTTATCAGATTTGTATATATTAATTTGTAAAATCATCTGTTTTTACTGATATATGAACAGCATCATATTTAGTAATGCAAACAGTGTCATATTTTATATATATAGTCATTCGTACTATTTATATATTTTTCTTGTTTTTAAATTTCCTTTCTATAACTCACTCAGCAATAAAAATTTTATTTTTCTAAAATACAATTATGCAAGACATCAATTTTAGGAAAATAATTATGATGCAAATAGGAAATGATATTGTAATCATTCAGGGAATTAATTTATTTTTTAAAAAACAATCTGATTGATTTAAATTAGCTCCGTTTTTTGTATTACACCTACAACCATAAAATTTTTAAATATTTAAAAATAAAATAAAAACATTTTATGAGAAGGAAAATGTGTAAGGAAGATATTTTAAAGTTATGATGTAAATTTAAATTTTTGTTATATACATATATATATATATATATAATCCTATATATAATGAATAGCAGAGATTCACAATAATAAATATAGAACTGAAATAAACATTTATAAATTGTTTTTATTCCAGTAATAACAAAACTTACTAACATGTTGCAATAATCGATTTTTCCACGTGAGTTTATTCTTGTGGAAAAATCGACTTTCTATTTTGAGTTAAAATACAATCAATACCAATAAATTGAGATTCAGTATTAAAAACAATTCCTTATACAAAGGAATTTAATATATACATTATATAAACGACTTAATATTTTAGTTATTGAAGAATAAGATTAGATTTTATCCTCCTAAATTATAGCAGGCAATCTTAATTAAAATTTAAGATCATATAGATTTTTTTGCAAAAAAAAACTTTCGAATATATTGTTTTAAATGGTGTTTGAAACATTGAACTCAATTCATATTTTCAAGATGCTCATGGCAAAAAGTTACAAATGAACAAGAGATCCAGGAACACACACAATAGAAGTATATACTTAGTTGTAATTTCCAAGTAAATTTTATTTTTTTTTTTTTTAGAATACACATCATGAATTTTATGGAATTTCCTGTTTTTTTTTGTTTTTGCTTATAATTGTTAAAATTCTTAAAAAGAGCAATTCTGCGGATTTAAAAATTTTTTTGTATTGATATTTAATGTTGTCCCAGTTTTGTTCAACTACATTTACGGACAATCTATTCGTAAAATTGCAATTTAATGGTTAATCTAGTTATGTTGACTGATAAGCAACTCGTTACTGGATTTTTTAACTTTTCCAGCAACATTTGGTGGCATCATCTGTTATATTTTAAAAACTTCTTATATTTTTAACTAATAAAATGGCAAAAGGCTGTTTTGAGGGTAGGAATGGGTAAATTCTAATAAGTAAAATCGTTATTCAGTCGGACCTTAGTAGAGATATGCACGACCCCTTTTTTATCTCCCCACCCTTTGATCTTTAACCACCAAAATTTAAATGCATGAATTCCCTAACAAACCCTCCTGCAAAATTTCAGAAATTTTTGACAAAAAGCTTCAAACAGGGTGAACAAAATCTTGCCCCCATATTTAATATCCATACCCATTCCTACAGAAAACCCGATTTTTTTTTCATTTCTCGATGTATCATGGTGTCCCGAGTCCAAAAATATGAAAATCTTGATGGGGTCATTTTTTTTTTTTACTGATCGCTATACTTTCCTTCTGTTATATAGGAACAGCCAGGAAAGTAGCAAGATTAAAACCACTCTACTTTCAATTGAGAGGAAATAAAAATATATATACCTAAAAAAATTGCTTTTAAAATATTATAAATGGCTGTTTTCTAATAAAAGCATTTATATAAAAGTAATAGTTATTTTATACACATTAATTTTAATTTATGAATTTTAGTACGATAAAAAGTTAAAATTTAACTCGAATTTGAGATACAGTTGTAAATCAAGATTATTAAATACTTTAAAATTAGATATTTAGTGTGTGTATATAGCCTTTAGGCATATATATATATATATATATAGTGTGCGGCAACAATTTGAGCAGTGCGCGGCCACGCAGCTTAGAGGGAACATTGANAGAAGATAATCAATTCCAAATGCTTAAACTAGTACTTTTCTATAAGATACTGAAATTATTTACTCGCATAATACAATAAGTATTCGAGGACTGTCGGATTATAGAGATGGCGCCATCCTGCCATTTTGTTGGACCCGATTCGAATCCAGGAATTTTTTGCGCGCGGTTTCGGAAATATAGGGCCTCGTCCTTCACCATCCAACCGCCTCCTTTGTGAGCCTTTGTTAGGCTCACAAAGGGTATGGAAAATGGCTTCTTAGTGCTTAGCTCTATTTCATCGATTTCATTATTGAAAGCGATGAATAGAGTTAAATTGATTTTAGCTTTTATTATTTTAACTTAAAAAAAAGGTAAGACATTCTGCCCGTAAAAATTTGTTGCGTTCACTCAATAAATAGTAGTAAAAAAAATAAATAAAATTATATAGAAATCAAAGTTGCATACTAATTGCTTTACATTTATTTCAGATGATTTAACAAATTTTACACTTTAGTAATAAATTATGAAGTGTAAAATTTGTTAAATTTTGTATATTTCTACATTAAAGAAATTTTAGAGTATTTATCACTGTGAATTATTTTTATTTAAAGAAATTGACATTTTTTCGAATTCATACTAAAATAAACGATTTATTTAAAAATTAAGTATTTTAAATTACAATGAAGAATATTGTTAATATTCAATTTAAATTATTCTAAAGCAGAAAAATATTTCATAATTTAATAATAGTTATTGTTGATTAGAAAAAAATTAATTGAAAATAACTATTGCTGAAGATTGCATCATTTCACGTAGTCTGGAAATTTATACTTAAATTTGTTGCCCAAAAATGTGACAATGATTCTGATTACATAATAGTCGTAAAAAGATTATTGCTCGTGAACATACTTTACTCTTTACAGTTTATTAATTAATTAATACAATTAATGATAATTTGTAATTGTAATCACAACAGAAGGCTCTGTTATATATAATAGAGGCAATCGGTCAAAAAATAACTCTCCCAAGATTTCTACATTTTTGAATTAATGGGATCATAAAACGTCGAGAAATGCAAAAAAATCCTGTTTTTTGTTTGTGTGTGTGAATGTTACTATGTTTTTCGAGGACAGTTTTTGTCCATCCAATTTGAATCTTGACTTCTTTAATGCCTTCTATCAAAAATTTCTGAAATTTTCAGGTTTGTTTATTCGGAGGATTGATGATATTAAATTTTGGTGGTTAAAGGTCGAGGGAATGGGGAGATACAGGAGGGTCGTCGAGTCGGGTCAGACTTAATATTTTATTCGCTATTAGCATTTACAATATTATATATATATATATATAAATGAAACTCGTTCCTACCCTCAAAATTAAGCTTTTTGTCATTCTTTAATAATTAATTATGACATTTTATTTTAAAAACATTTTATGTAACAGATGATGCTATATGCAGTTTTAAATGTTGCCAGGAAGGATATTACAGTTGACCCCCCTATAACATTGTTGATAATTCCGTTTTATATGAATTCCATGTTGTACGAGTCACTTAGATTTTACAAATACGTGAGCCGTTCACAGCCCCGTACACGTATTTGTAAAATCTGTGACTCCTACAACATAGAATTCATATAAAACGGAATTATCAACAGTGTTATAGGGGGTCAACTTTGTACTGAATTTTTTAAAATTAGCATTAAAAATATAAAATTTTCATTAGTATTGGCATGGGCGTAGCCAGAGTTTTGTTATGGGGGGCCTAGTAGAGGCCAACCTGACACAAAATTGAATTATTTCAAATTATTATTCATTAAAATGAAAATTTCATGATGATCGACGATAACTGAATATGAAACTTTCTTTAATTACAACATTGGGCACCGAGCGATCCGTTGACCTTTTTTTTTTTTAAGTATTCAAAATTTTTAGCTTTACACTTTTTCGGCTCTGATTTTCTGGGGGGCACCAGGTTCCCTGGGAGGGGCCGTGCCCACCTAGGCCCCCTCGCTACGCCCATGAGTATTGGTTATAATAATTTGTCTAATTCGTAAGTATCTATTAACATGCTTTCAACAGCTTAATCATTTCATCAGAGAGGTAAAAACTAAAGGCGTTTCCGCAAACTTCTAGAAATTATGAATAAATACAAAACTTTGGATGAGCTCTCTTAGCCCTTTCATATTTCATAATAAGGCATAATGTTTTGATGAATTAATAGCATTGAATATTTATACTGTTAGTCTCGATTTAACGTCGTCATTTTTTCGCTTCTGAAATTGGCACTAAATCGAATGTGGTGATAAACTAAAGGACCACAAACTATGAGAATTAAATGTAGTGATTGTTAAACGGCTGTTTTATCAATTCCTTAAAATCTTATTTTTTTAAGTTGTTTACTAACTGTATATATTACGTAACGACTTGTCTCAACCACGCGATTCTCACGCGCAGTGTTTCTAACAGATTTAAACACAAAATTTTATAATTATTATTTTTCTTTTAGCAGTAACTAGCAGGTAAGCCTGGCGTTGCTCAGTTATAAATTTTTTCAAGTTTTTTTGTTAGGGTATAAAATGTTTTCAAGGAATGTTATTGTATACATAATCAAATTATAGGAACAGCTAACAATCTTTGCATGTTTTTTTCCGACGGAGAGTATACATAATGTTATATATATAAAGATGTGTTATTGGGCTGGAATTTAAAAAATTGTGGATTTATAAATTCTCACTATCGTATGAATGAATGTCTGGACAGAAAGAACCCAAAATGAGCTTGCTAAAAAGGTACTTTTAGAATCTACGGGACGGAAATAGCTTTAATTAAACCCGAAGATATTACAATTTGTATTAAAAATAGTCAAATAAGAATTGCAGGTGTTACGTATCTGTAGATGTCGTTCTTGCATACGCCACCTGTCCTCACATGTGTACGCCTTTAGTAATTTATAAAGCACGTGTACTCTGTTGGTCCTGCATAGTGCTTTGCGATGGTTTCGAAATTATTGATGGTTGTGCAATCATCGACAGAGCATCGATAGTTACGTCTAGCTTTAATTTGTATTTATTTACATTTTCCTTTTCCGGCTCTGTTATATATCTCCAAAAACATGCCTCTAAACCTTATATGTACAGAAACTGTACTGTCGTCAAGCATGCATAAATCAGTCGTTTTCAAATTATTACCGTTTTATCTTAGATGTACACCAAACACAATAAAGTTACAGTTATACCTCGGTTTACGTCGATAATCCGTCCCTAAACAATGGCGAAATCCGAAACCGACGAAAACCGAGGCAATCATTTCCATATGAATCAATGTAAATCCAATTAATTCGTTCTAAAAACTCCAAAATACATACAAAAAAAAACACATTTTATAAAGAACAAATATAGTGTTTAATACTAAAAACAATATGAAATTAATATAAAATGAATATAAAAGCGGCCGATTTCAGCAATCTTAATGCCGCTCTCGTATTTTTCAATGACTTCCTTCTTCAACTTTGATCGTGTTCCTGGCTTTCTTTATCGAAGGGCTGCTGGTTCTGGAAACTTTCTTTGGTCCCATGATGGAGCAAAAAGGAAGAAATGGAATTGCTTGGCTAGAGGCGCGAATAATAATACTCGCACAACGAGAAACAACGCCACACTGAGCAGAAAAACGCGAGGGTCGCCCTTTGTTTTCGCAAAATTAGCAGCGAGGTCACGTGGGCACGCCTACGAAATCCGAGCCATCGACGAAAACCGAGGTATTACTGTATGAAACCTTCATTTTCATTCTTAATTATTTCGCTATGGAAAGTCGTGATGTCAGGGACGTGAAAAGTTGTAATAGTGATGCCAAGAATTTTCATTATATGCAGTTTTGGTATCGGTGCCAATGTCTTTTTAATAAAACAATATTTCGGTGTTTCAAATGCATCTTTGGCGTTCATCACTATTGCTTTAAAGTGTACAATGTGATGATAATTCCTTGAAATTGTTTATAACGAAATAAACTTTGGAATAATTAGTAATGAAATAACTCTAATGCACCGCCAGAATTTTATTAAAAATGACATTGGCACCGATACCAAAACTGTATACATGTGCAAAAGATATTGCAAAATTAGTTGAAAATGTTCCTTTTTTCGCATTCCATTTTCTAACACATTAACCTGAAGATAATCTCCTATGTAGATTGAAAACGTTTGTATTTTATCTGCATTAAACTATGCTGGAATTTCATTTTGTAAAAATTTTTCGAAATGTCATTTGAAATTTTTGAAATAAAGTTTTCAGAAATTATAATTTATTTATATATAAAAATAAATTTAAAATCCTTTTTGCCATTTATTCGAAAATATATAAAGCTTTCTACGGTAACAAAAATTGTTAACAATGGACAAAATATTGTTTCATGTAACAAAATATTTGTGATTATTGAGGACAAGACTATTGTTAATTTCGACGATTCTCAACGAAGTAAAAAGTAAGACGTTTAAAAGTTTTATTAATTTCTTCTATATTTATCCAGTACTGTATTTCAATAGATGTTTCTTTTTCATTCTTAATATAATGATTCTTAATATAAATCGAACATACTCTAATGTAAATTATAATTTATATTCGATAGCATGTCAAATAAATGCAGTAAAAATAGTTTCTGCAAAATAAATTTGATTTGTTTGATCCAAAAAACTAGATTTTTGGATTCAACTGATATATATTTTCTCATTTGGCTCTTACCGCCCTTTGGTTCTAACAGGACTTTTTAACCACGTCTATCACGGTGAGGGACTGGGCCCGACATATCCGAGACAGACCAGATACCTCCAAAAATTTTTGGAGTGTTCCTTCGATTTCGATTCAGCCTTCCTCAGAGCTGTAGGAAGCTCACTAACAGGCTTTAACTAGCTATCAGTGAGATATACTTCTTGTAATATTTTATAAAATAATTACTCTAAAAGTTGAGATTAAAATTTTGTATTATTGGATTGGATTAATGGAATAAGAATGGAATGCAATCTCCGAAGCCTGAGTACCTCTAGAGAGGGTTTTCTATGGGAAATTGGCCTCGCTTTATGTGTTAGACACGAGAAGAAAATCCTAAAAATTTTACTTGGCTAGTCTGTTGGTCAGGATCAATAAAATATTTTAAAGAAAGTGGTATTTTATAAGTTGCACAATGCTAAGATATAAGTTTTTTAACGTTTGCATGTAAGTTAGGTTAAAATTGAAAAAAAAACATGTTTAACAGTTTGAAGTTTAGACTATTTACAAAAAGTCAAAAATTAACTTTTGAGTCCATCTTTATCCTTATTACACTACCATAGAAGTAAGTCACAAAAATTTTTCTGCTTTGAAGAACTCTTCTTAAAACACAGGTAAAAATTGGTAAAAAAATCCCAATGGTTAAAAAAGATCAAGTGTCAGCCTTTCTCTGTAGGTATCTGACACTTTTACAATTAAAAACACAAAGAAATTCTTCACACTATAATTTTTATCCACATTTTTAAACTACTGCTGGCTCTCTAGTGGTAGTTACGAGTATCTACATTATTTGCATATAGTTACAATTTTTGTGATTACTCAGGATTTATTTCTTCATAATTTGAAGTTTAGACTATTTACAAAAAGTCAAAAATTAACTTTTGGTGGTGTAATAAGGTAAAGATGGACTCAAAAGTTAATTTTTGACTTTTTGTAAATAGTCTAAACTTCAAATTATGAAGAAATAAACCCTGAGTAATCACAAAAAAAAATGTTTAACAGTGCCTAGAGATGCTAATGACTATTGTTAATAGAAGTACTGTATTTATTTTTTTATTTAATTTATTAGTATAAGAGACCCTGTATGTAGGGTTCTCTATAACCAAAATTACAAATTATTGTAATTACCAATACAAAAGAAATAACAATACAGCAATACATCGCGTGACAATTTAAGTGAAAGAAAAAAATACAAAAATAACACACGGTTAATATCATCCAAAACAATAATATTTATATTCTTATAAATAATCTAGCCTACATGAAAAAGACAAATAAAAAACAGTGGCAGCGAATGATCGGCGTATACACAATAAAATAAAAGAAAAAAAAGAAAAAACTAAGCAATTACCTGCAAAAAATTAAACAATTATTCAAATTACGTCCAAAAGCGCCGACCATAAACGCTGCCAACTCTCAGACACTAAATCGTTCACTTAAGTAGTCAATTTGCACCTCCTGGTGGTAAGCTTCTGGAAAAAAACGTTTCATAAACATAACAAAATCAATCATTTAACTTAGTTACAAAACTATAAATACAATGATATTTATCCCAGTCCTGCAAAAACCGTTTATATGCTTGAACCAAAAAACATGCTTCACCAAAACATTTTTGTCTGACTGCTGCCAGCACCTTACATTCCGTTATTACATGAAAAGCATCAAAATTAACAGTAATATTACAGAATTCACAGTACTCCATACATGGACTTAACATTCTTCTAATCATATTACATCGCACATATAATACTGCTTGTGTAATACGAAAAGGTCTTTCTATATTTAGATAGGTCATCGACCCCCCATTCATTAAAAACATCCAAATACCATTTATTATATTTATAATTAACCGCCTTGTATTTAAACTCAGTTCTATAATTATTCGCCAAAGTCATTGAAATACCAGAAATCTCATTTTCATTTAGTATTATTGGATCATTTCGATAACCAAATTTTTGCAACAAAGACATAATTCGATCTCCCCACGCTACTCTTTAGAAGTACTGTATTTATATTCCTCTTTCTTCTGACTTGATCAACTTTCTTGAAATTCGAAGACCATTAATAGATAATTTAAATTAAGTAGTATACAAACACTAACCGGAAGTTTAAGGCTGGTAGACATTTATAATCATTTCAGTAATTCTAACTCACCTAGTACGTCTCAACTTTCTGGTAATGTACTTTTAATTTAACACAGTCTTACCCACACACGTCTTTAATTGGCTATGTCTTCGTAAATGAAAATATATTTTAATTAATTACTCAGATTTCTGAATATTGAATACATTTATCATTCTAAGGAAGTTAGATCATTTCTAATGTGGATCATAGTTGCAATTTATAACTTCATCGTTGTAACGAATTAATTACAGTTATTTAATTATTCAATTATGATTCAATATTCCATTTTTTTCTTTTTTTGCTAAAAATCTTAACTTCTTAACTCTTAAAACGACTTTAGTTCTTTTAAATTAATGATTTTAAAAAATTGTATAAACTTTATATTTCAGAAATACAAGAATTTAAGATAAATAAAATGTCAAGGAAACGATTATATAATATAAATTATCCTTTTCCTGTATAAAATAGTATTTCGTCGTAAGTTCAGAATTTACCTTAACAGTCGCTTCATTTAAAACGAATATTTTATTATGATAGAAATATCAGTGATGAGTTATCCTATGGGCTAAAAGGGCAATTGACTGGAGACCCCACCAATAAGGAACCCCAAACCAATCATTTATAAGAAAATATTTTTCCAAAAAATTACCCCGAAGAAAAATGTAGAAAGTCAGCATTATACACGGGACTTTCTAATTCAAATTTGCCAGGGTCCTATGAAACTATAAAGCGCTAGTGAGAAACATTACATTTTGTGTTAGATGTCTGATTATTTAATTACACTTTTTCATAGATATTTTCATTAAAAACTGTACGAAATGCTCAGTTATAAGAATTAATCTCTACATAAGAGTATTATTAATTTCTTTCATGCAAACCAGAACACGTGAAATACAAATCATTTTGATTAGCAAATGTTTAAAATCATTTTTATATAATGTTCACTATTATTAAACATTCAGAAAGGAAAAAAATCTAATAAAAAATAGAAGCATATAATATGATAATATTAAAAATGATAAAACAAATTAGTTATCATTTACCTGTATATATTCATATGCAGAAAGACAATAGATTTTACAGGTAAATGCTATCTTCAAGCACTTGAAAACGCAATTGGATAGGTGAAGATAATTGTAAGAACTAGGAAATGAGAAAAATAACATAAGACATGAAAATAAATTTAGAGGACTTCTCTTGAACCCAGTTTAAAAGTCTTTTCCGATGTTCTTTAATCTGAATAGAATAAAAACCATTTTTTCGGATAAGGAATTTTACCACTGCAAGAATTACTTTCACCTAAACCAGTTACAATCTTCGATTAGCTATTAATATAATCAAAATTCACTGTTTTATTTAATATGTATACTAAATAATTTGACTTGTAATCATAAATATTTCGCTCACAGGTGACAATTAAAAATATATCAGTCTAAAAATACATTCAGTATATCAAGTTTATTCGATACATTTAATATTTATTTAAGGAGAAATTAAAAGTTTGTAAAGCGAAAATTAGAATATAAATCCACAAGATTAAACTTTCACTTTTATAATACTCAGGCCTTATTTTCAGGTGACGGTGTTACTGTTAGGACGTGGTGGAATGGCGAATGGCCTCTCTGTCTCTACAAAATGCCACAATAGTCCTAAGACGGTAACACAACGTGGCGAGATCATGCCGACACTAAACTACGCATGCAACTTTCAATCTCTCGAGCCAAATGCTTCCGAGTCCGAGCGTGTGTACGAGTTTTCGAAAAGTCGAACGACCTGAAACGAGTTTAGTTGCGAAATACACGATTGTAACCTATATTAGAAGAACAGCTGCGGATAACTGAAAATAATATTTAGAAACTTATTATTTTTTTCTTAATAGCTATTTAATAATCATTAAGATTTCATATTCGGTTGTTTTGTGATAGTTTACTTCTTATTATCTTTCAATAGTTAAATTTTTATTGCTTTGAAAGAAATTCATTTACACCAGTATCCGTAACAGTTTTGTTTTGTGCCAAATGTAATAGGAGTAATATTTGACCGCCGAAGTTACAAGAATGAAAGATATTTCTACTGATGTATCACGACTTCAGATCGAAAGCTACACGCATAAACTACCGAGTTTGAAAATAACGGGAAAGAAACAGAATAAACTCGATGAAAGAATAATGAAAGTTCCAGAATAGATAAAATCGTAATAATTACTGCAAATAGGTTGAAAGAAATGGTATTTGTTTCATTTTCTAAGTTAGTTATAGATATTTTAATCTAGAGCTATAAAACGTAACTAAACACAAATATATTTATTTATTTTAGTACAAGGGTACAAATACCCTTTGTACGGGGAACACAAAAAGGAAATACCGAACAAACATTGCCTCATAACAAAATATTAAATAAATATAATACAGTAAAAAAAGGTAATCTCTGTACAAAGTCCAAATCCGTACATGCAAAAACCAAAACATAATATGCAATAATCATAACATAAATGCAACATCCCGTGCATAATACAGCTTTCGTACATAAAATATCCGGTACAAGAAACTATAATTACATAAACATGATACAAAATCCCATACCTGATAATTACTACATATTATTCCAAAACATACACAATTAACTAGTAAGCAAACTGTGACGACCTGGTGCGATAACATTAAAAATGAACAAAATTTAAACCAATAAAACTACATATAGAAATTAAAAAAAAATAATTAACTAAATTTACCTACTTGGAAAAATACGAAAATAAGAAATATGCAAAACAGGTTAACAAAAGCTCGTCAATCAACACCAAATTAACACCCACGAGAGCTGACTCCAATGCTCTTTTAATACTGAACGACACTGCCACCCTCTGAAATACAATTTAAACAAGATTTAGAAAACAAAGCAATAAAATTAAAATATTCAACATGTTAGCAAAAGAAAATGCTATAATATTTGAAAAATCCACCCGAGATAACCTAATTTTTCCAAAATACTGTTTCCGCTCACGCGCAAACTTTACACATACAAACAATATGGAAAGAATTCTCTATTGTAAACTCATTGCAAAAGGAGTATATATGACCCTCAAACCTCTTCAAATACAAAATCGAATCAGATCTAACAAACAAAAATATCTTACTCGTAATAAAATTGAAGGAAAAATTTGAATTTAAATATTTTTCTGTCCTAAAACTTAATTCCACTAGTTGATACCAGAGAAAGTTGTCATTCAGAGTAATCCTATTTCTAAACTCCCACAGTAATGAATCGGAAACGCGCAACATAGAATCCTCACAACAGAAATCACCATCCTAATCATCATTATACCACTGAGAAGAAGAACCATAATGGTTAAACAATTTTTTTACTTTATCTCCCCAATCAGAATTAATGTTAGAAAAGAAAAGTCCTACAAGTTCGCACCAAAGATGATTTACAGTTCGAACTATCCAGTCACCTCAGTACTCTTTTAATAATAATAAAGTGAATGGGACGTCTACAAAATTCTAACGCTAAAAAATAATGTGGAACCCACCGTCCTAAGCAGTAAGCATGACGAATAAAGTTCCATTGGATAGCTTCATACTTTGTATTCCAGTTTAAAAAAAAAAAAAAAACATATTTCGGTTCCATACAACACCATAGATAACAACTGAGATTCATATAAACGAAGTTTGTCATTCCATTTAGCCAATCTCTCCTTCGCGCAAGTTTGGGTAATCTTAAATGACAGAGCTTCTGACTTCTTCCTCATTAGGTCGAGATGTTTGACAAATCTGCCATTCGAACAAAATAATACACCCAGATTATTAAATTTTCGGACCATCTCAATGTTACGACCTCTATAAAACCACTTTTCTTTAACAGAACCCATGCCACCTTTCCTAAAAACCACAATCTTTGATTTAACCAAATTAACTTCCAGTGCCATGTTACATACAAATGACTCGAAAACATTAATTGTCCTCTGTAGGTTCAACACAGTCAGAGACCAACACAATATCATCAGCGTAAGCCAATATTTTCACTTCGACTCCTTCAAAATCAAAACCGGAAGCATTGCAATTATTAACTTCCGTAATCAAGTCATTTAAGTAAAAGTTGAAAAAGCAAAGGACTAAAACACAGCCCTGACGCACATCTTTTCTTGTATAAAAAAATTTAGTGTTACCTCTCGCTGTGTACACACATGCAGAAAAAGAACTGTACCAAGATATTAAACAATTGACAAATTTATAACTTAATCCATTCTTCCACAACGTAGGCCGTAAAAGGTCTCTATCCAGGGAGTCGAAAGCAGAATGAAGATCCACAAAGAAAGCATAAACTTTAACACGTTTCTTTCTTAGTGCTTTTTGGATAATCGTGGAAAGAACAAATATAATTATCCACTGTCAAAAAACTCTTACGGAAACCAATCTGGAAGTCCGAAAATATCCCACGATTCTCATCCCAAACAGTCAATCTATTATTAACCAAAATTCTCCCAAATAGCTTCGATAAAACTGACAAAAAGGAAATACCACGATAATTTTGGAAGATTACGTGATTCTTTTTAAAAAGTAGGAAATATTTTACTAATGCACCAATCAACTGGAAAGCACCGAGTCGAGAAACTATTATTAAACCACGAAACTGTTAATATATGATCAAATACCTCGGAAATAAATTTATAAAATTCAATCGGAATACAGTCCACCCAGAAGCCTTGTTTTCTTTCATCTCAGCTAAAACAGACCTCAAGTCATCCTCAGATATACCAGAATCCAATAATGGATCTCTCCAAGTAAAACAATAACGACACATTGAGAATGTACGGTGACTGAGAATCACAAAGAGCAAAGAAATGATCATACCAGTCCAAATCTGGGTTTCTCTCAATCGACGAACTATTCAACTTTCTAACTGTCCACCAGAACTTCCGACTGTCTTTAAAATTAGCATTAGTTCCAATCGAGAGCAGAAATGTACGTTTCGTAGCCCTAGAAAGATTTTTTGCCAGATTCCTCGACTTAAGATAATTTTTAACCACTAGTTCACTATACGTGGTTATCTTCCTCAGCTTATTTAATGTCCTATTCCTTTCAATTATTGCAGAGTGACATGCAGAATCAAACCACAAAAATTGACAATTAACTTTTCTATCAAGACCAAGCTGATTACCCACCACAAAAGTATGGCTATTTAAAACATTTAGATTAATTTGATCTTCATCTAAACATTGCCATTTTTGTAAAAAAAAACAGATCTAAATTTCGTATTTAACTCCACGTCATCCTTATTCCAAAATAATCTATATGCTGTACTTACTTTACGGTGAGGCGTGACACAATCATTACTATGATTGTCAACAATATCAAAGCAAATCGGGAAATGATCCGATTCCGTTCTGTTATCTATAAAAAAGTCTAAGATATAACTCAACACATTAAAATGTATTAACAAATAATTAATTATTGAAGAACCCCTAGGACTAACAAAAGTAAATTCGCCAAACTTGTCTACAAAACTTCTACCATTCAAAATAACCAAAATTCTTTTGTTCGCAGAATTTTAAAAAACTTTCTTACCGCAATCATTTAAAATTATATGTCTTTAAAATATCTTTCAAATTGCCATGAAGAATCTCTCAGAATAGATTTTAGCCATTGCTGTTCACAGAGACCAATTCTAGAATTACAATCCCCACAAATAATAACTTCCTTATCGCCTATGGTGAGTTCCAATCTTGACAAAATTTTCAATCAAAAATTTTCATGCTAGTAGATAAATACAAAAATCAAAGTCTTCCCATGAATTTTGATATCAATAATTAAGAAAAATTTATTTTTCAAAACTATATTAAATCTGAATGTAGCCTTTACAAAAAAAAAAAAATAGCCATCCACCCATCAATTGACTTAGTCCCAGCTTCCTTTTTCTCATTAGCAAATAATCTTAATGCCACTCTAACTTGTTTAGGGTTGTCTTCGTTTATATAAATACCCGAACCTTTAAGCCTATTAGCTCTTCCTTTTATCAATAACTTATCTTTATAATCAAAGCTACAAAATATCTCGACCTCCCTCGGTGATCGCTTACCAAGTCTAAAAACTCTATCAACATTCTCCACCTCAAACGAATACCTTAACAAATCTATCATCAGCGATTTCGTTATCTCGTTATTTTTCTGAGGAGTTTCCTTAACTTCCGAAACTATATTACTACGTATACTAAAACATTCAAACTGCAGAATGGCATACCGAGATAGTGGGAAGCTGTAACTCACGTTGATTCATAGTCTTAGAAATAAGTGGAGTAGATCCACTAGAGTCCGACTTTTCCAATTGCTCCACTCGCGTTTCTAAATCCAATAACGCCTCGTCTAAATTCGTAACCCATACCTGAAGACGATTTAAACGCGAAATCAAATTATCCAATTTATAGTTCAGACTCTGGTTCATTTTAATCAAGGCTACCAGACCTTCTTTCACCTCAAAGTTACCTTCTAACAGTTGATCAACATTTAAATTACCAATACCCTCGGAGAGACGAGACTATTCTACGCGAATTATAATCCGTAGGAGAACTCCTGGGCGAGAAAATCTTCCGCTTTGCAGCCATAAATCTTACCTGGAAAAATATGAAAATAAGAAATATGCAAAACACATTAGCAAAAGGTCGTCACATCCAATCAACACCAAATTAACCCCCCAAAATAATATATTATTTATTTTAATACTGAATGACACTGCCACCCTCTGAAATACAAATTAAACACAAGCTTTATAAAACAGAGAAATAAAATTAAATATATTCAACATGTTAGCAAAAGAAAAAGATGTAATATATGAAAAATCCATCTGAGATAACCTAAGCTTTCTGAAATACTGTTTTTGTTCACATGCAAACTTAGCGCGCACACAAACAATATGGAAGGAATTCTTTATTGTAAATTCATTGCAAAAGGAGCATTTATGATTCTCAAACTCTTCAAATACAGAACCAAATTACCTCTAACAGACAAAAACATCTTAATAAAATTGAAGAAAAAATTTGAATTTAAATATTTTTCTGTCATAAAACCTATTTCTGCTGGTTGATATCAGAAAAAGTTGTCATTCAGAGTGATCTTATTTCTAAACTCCCACTGTAATAAATCAGAAACATGCAGCATAAAATCTGAACAACAGAAATCATTATTATACCACTGAGAATAAGATGATCCATAATGGCTAAACAATTTTTTTACTCCACCTCCCCAATCAGAATTAATGTTGAAAAGAAAAGTCTTACAAGTTTGCACCAAAGACAATTTATGGTTCAAACTATCTAGCCACCTCAATACTTTCTTAATAATAATAAAGTAAATGGAACATCTACCAAATTCTAATGCTAAAAAAATGATGTGGAATCCACTGTCCTAAGCAGTAAACATGTCAAATAAAATTCCATTGGATAGCTTCATACTTTGTATTCCAGTCATAAAACCATACTTTGGCACTATACAGCACAACAGATAACAACTGAGATTCATATAAACAAAGTTTGTTACTCCATTTGACCAATCTCCCNTGGCGACAGCGCAATTAAAAAATAAAAATAAAAAAAAATTTATTTTATTAATTTTTGTATATTTTTAAAAATAACTTAATCTTTGCGCAAAAAACTATACGCATTGCGATGTAGCTCGGTAATCATAGATGCCATTTTTCGTTTCCTCGTGTTTTGAATGTTAAAACGAGAACAGGCGAATGTAAAATGGAAGTGAAAAACCGTTGTAATTCTTGAACATGTCCTGTTTACATTCAAACACGTGAAATGGTGTTAACGTTTGTCCTGCTTCGTAAAACATTTTCATTCGGTCATATGGCTCATAAACAATCGACGTTTGGTTTACTAAGCCGAAATCTTTATCGCATTCTATATAACTATGCCCTCTTACAGGAAATGTGACTTTTATACTTTCTAGACGACCTGATGTTAGTTAAATCAATAATGCATCGCCCTCACCACTATAATTTCTCTTTTGCTCTCCGCAAGCATCACAAAAAAAAAATGTGTAAATATTTTATTATCGAGATCGTTATCCATGAAATTAATCAACAACGAAACTACAAAAGTCGAATCCGGTAACTTAATCCTGCCGATCTTTTGTAAGAAATTCGTTGACCATCTGAAATAATGAAGCATGCTGAGCTTCATTTACTGATACAATACAACGATAACGTTGGCACTTAAAGTCATTATGTGACTTTATATATGACACTTCTTTGCCAATTATTTTTGTTAAATCTTCCGTTTTATTTTTGTTTGCCTGTAGGTTTGGAGATGTTAATTCATCAGGACTTTAGTTCACCATCACTTAAATACAGCGTAAACACAGTGACTTATCGCAATAATTACGTACAGTACGTAACAGCGTACCGGGTCAACGCCATGTTGGAAAATCAAGCTAAATTCTCGTTGGCTACTGCATAAATGTGACTGAATCTTGATCGTTACTGTTGAAAATGTATGTGGATTATGATCGTTCTTCTAACAACCGCGTTTTCTTTACATGAGTCCGGAAAGAATTATGATTGTTTTTTCACTAAATTGACTCTACCATCGCGTTCAACATCTTTCAATCTACAAAATTGCAGGTTCCATTTACAAACGCA